TGAACAGAAGGAGCCCAGAATCCCCTCTGCCCTGCCTAGGCCTCTCATGAGCCTAGCAATGTCACCTTGTACCCTCACCCCACTCTGTGATGATGCTGCTACCTGTGGGCTTGCCCAGATTCACTTTAGTCCTCCCTATAGACACTAGCTCTGGCCTAGCCGCTCTGTTGACTCTCAAAGATGCAGCACGTCCCTTTTCCCATCTCTACCAGGTGGCCATTGACTTCACAGCTTCCAATGGGGACCCGAGGAGCAGCCAGTCCCTACACTGCCTCAGTCCCCGCCAGCCCAACCACTACCTGCAGGCCCTGCGTGCAGTGGGAGGCATCTGCCAAGACTATGACAGGTAAGAAGAGGTGGGGGCAAGGGCCAGGAGACAGGCAGGGAGGCTTTGCCTGATGAGCCTTACAGCCTCTTTTTCTCCCCAGTGATAAACGGTTCCCAGCTTTTGGCTTTGGGGCTCGAATCCCTCCAAACTTTGAGGTAGGCTGGGTGCCAAGAGAAGGGAGGAGATGGTGGGAAAGTGAGACAGGAAGGAATGATCCCCTTGCTGTTCTCGCCTTACCCTCACAGGTGTCCCATGACTTTGCTATCAACTTTGACCCCGAGAATCCAGAATGTGAAGGTAAGAGGGGAGGTTCCCACCAGACCGCCTCCCCATACAGCTTGCTGCACACCCCATGCCAGAGCACAGACTGCATTCCCATGGGCCCAGCCGCCTGTGCCTTTACCCATTCAGCTCCTGTCTTCATTTGGTAAGACTTCCAGACCCTGGCCCAGCATCTACCCACTCAACTGCCCTAGTGCCTGGACCATCCAACTCTCCTACATATGGAGGAACTAGGGGAGGTGGGGCAGGACGCCTCCTTGTTTAAGGGGTGTCAGGAAGGGCTCCCTGCTGATCTCTGACAGCGTCATCTTGGTCCACAGAGATCTCGGGGGTCATCACTTCCTACCGCCGTTGCCTGCCCCAGATCCAGCTCTATGGCCCCACCAACGTGGCCCCTATCATCAACCGCGTGGCAGAGCCAGCCCAGCGGGAGCAGAGCACCGGCCAAGCCACGGTGAGGAGAGGCAGCAGGCAACCAGGCTCTGCCCGGGTGTTCTTGGGTGGGGCCAGGGACAGGGCCTGGGTTTGGGGCAGGTGCCAATGCCCTTGCACACAAAGCCTACCCTTCCTGCCCTCCACCTGTCCTCAGAAGTACTCCGTGCTGCTGGTGCTCACAGACGGCGTGGTAAGCGATATGGCCGAGACCCGCACCGCCATCGTGCGCGCTTCCCGCCTGCCCATGTCCATCATCATCGTGGGCGTGGGCAATGCTGACTTCTCCGACATGCGGCTGCTGGATGGTGACGAGGGTCCCTTGCGCTGCCCTCGAGGGGTGCCCGCGGCCCGCGACATCGTTCAGTTCGTGCCCTTCCGGGACTTCAAGGATGTGAGTGCCCGACGCTCCCTCCCAGCAGGACTCCTCTGCTCCTCATACCCCCAAATCTGGCCTGGTTCTCCCAACTGGTAGATGTCCTTAGAAGGAGGCTGGGATCCTGATGGCCATTCCAGAGCCATGCCCACCTGACCTCACCCCTTACGCTCCTGTCACCTAACCACGCCCCCACGCCCTCTACCTGCAGGCCGCACCCTCTGCGCTGGCTAAGTGCGTCCTGGCCGAGGTGCCCAGGCAGGTGGTGGAGTACTACGCCAGCCAGGGCATCAGCCCCGGGGCGCCCAGGCTCTGCACGCCAGCCACGACCCCCAGTTCTAGCCCGTGATTGCCTCCCACCGGACCGACACTCCCTCAGCCTCTCAGTGAGTTCTGAGGGCCCAAAGGGGTGAACAATACGGGGTGCCAGGTGGGGCTTGGTGGATCCCATCTTGGCCGGGTGTTACCACACCCAGATGTTTATGATTATCCCACCCTCTCTCAGGTGCCTGTCCTGACCCTTGTGACTACAGTGACCAGTGCCTCTCCCTCTTGGATCAGCTGTGCCCCGTGGGTCCTAGAAGTGAGTGGAGAGCCCTGCCCCATCTCTCCAGGCCCCATAGCCTTGTGGCCCTTCAATGACTCTCTTCAGTGATCCTGACTTTCTGGCCATTAATAAAGGGAACCACTCCTAGCACCTCAGCCTCTACCCATCATGTCTCAGATGCCCACTGGGCAGTCTGTAGCACTCACAAACACCATTAAAAAATGAGAACCGCCCGGCCGGTGTGGCTCAGTGGTTGAGCGTCCACCCATGCACCAAGAGGTCACTGGTTCGATTCCTGGTCAGGACACATGCCCAGGTTATGGGCCACATCCCCAGTGGGGGCATGCAAGAGGTGACTGATTGATATTCTCTCTCATTGCTGTTTCTATCTCTCTTCCTCTCTCTTTAAAATGAATAAAGAAAAGAAATTTTAAAAAGAAAGAAAGAAAGAAATGAGAACCAACACCTCTTGAAAACTGGGCCAGAGTTTACCAGGCAGCCAGATGTCTCTACAGTCTCACTCCAACTATGTACCAATGAGATCTGAGGAGCCTCTATCCTCACTCCCCAACGCCAGGGGGCCCAGGCACCATGGGGGTTAATTATTGGAGATGGGGGAGGAAATAAGGGGCTGTCAAGGAGGCAGGCTAATGCCTTTTTACAGCTGTCTCCAGAGAAGCCCAGCTGAGTCCCCAGGGGCTGAACTCCAGCCCCCACACAGCTGTGGGGTGGGGCCTAGAAGGGGTGAGGAGGTACTGAAAGAGGGCAGCAGGTCTGCCAGTGAACTGTGAACACAGAGGGGTCTTCTAAGGTCTGTATCACCTGTTTTTCCTGGTTGTATGAATGTGTGTGTGTGTGTGTGTGTGTGTGTGTGTGTGTGTTCATATACTGCACATCCCTGATTTTCCATCAGTGTGGTCTTAAAGGTTCAGGTAGTCCAGCTGCATACTCTTAATAACATTAACAATAGCAGCACACATTATTGTTCAGCCAAAGAAGAACCAGTAGGCCTGAAACTTGAGCCCAGGCCCATCTGACTAAAGTGCCCACACTCTTTTTTTATTGATTGATTTTAGAGAGAGAGGAAGAGAGAGGGAGAGAGAGATAGAAACATCGATGAGAGAGAACATCGATTGGCCACCTCCTGCAGGCCCCCCACTGGGGATTCAGCCCACAACCTGGGCATGTGCCCTGACAGGGAATCGAACCAGCGACCTCTTGGTGCATGGGTCTACACTCAACCGCTGAGCCACACCAGCCGGGCTAAAGTGCCCACACTCTTAATCACTGGTATACAACTTGGCTGTGTGGGATGTATCTGCATGACCCTCATCTTGTGACCCATGTGTATGTATATGTGGCCTGATTGTGTATATTGTAGGTGCCTGTGGATGGACATCTCTGCCTGTGTGTGTGTGTGTGTGCCTCAGCCAATCAAGTAAAGTGTGCAAGAACAGTAGCGGGTTGAGATTACAGCTCCAGAGAGCAGGTGAGACACTTGTGAGATCCAGGGTGAGGGAAGAAGAGCTGTGCTCCTGGAGGGACCCTTCCTGCCCCAGCCTCTCCCTTCAATGATGTGCATGGAAAGAGATGAAGGAGGAGAGGCTAAAGGTGCCACGAGCCAGCCACAGACAAAGAGGGTAGCCAGTAGCCAACAGCCAGTGGTGGGAAAGGAAGAGGAGAAGAGAAGAAATCCTGGGGGAGATGGAAGAGAGGCTCCCATTGTAGGCTCCTGAGTGGAGGAGGGACAAGCTGGGCTAGAGGAGGGGGAGGAGGGAACAAGAACTGGGATGGGAAGAGACAGCTGAGGAAGGGGCGGATAGAGGGGGCAGAAAGGAAGAGAGACATATGGGAGCCTCTTCCCCCACACTCAACTACTCCCCATTTATTATGTCATTTAGAGGACCTGTGACAGTAGCTGGTGAGGTTGCTGCTCACAGTTCAATGCCTCTGATCTGCCCAGATCCCAACCCACTCTCACCATAGGCTGCTGAAACAGAGGGTTGGATTACCATGGCAACTGTGAGACCTCAGGATAGCTACAGACAGGCCTGGCCCAGTCACTGATACTCCTGGGCTTCTGTGCAGTAGTGCTGGGAGAGCGACGTTCCATCTGGCCCAATCTCTACCCCTCCACCCCATTTTCATTGGGCCTCCAGAACTGAAATGTACCACTCAGCCCAGGTAGGGGCTTCCCAGTCTCTCTCTCTCTCTCTCTCTCTCACACACACACACACACACACACACACACACAAGTCTGGAGCAAGAATAAAAAATGAACACTTCTTAAACTGCAAGAACATTAGCCAATAGCATTAAGTTCTGCCTGGACTTCAAGTTTAATTCACAAAAGTTGCATTCTCTCAGCTCCTTGTCATGCTAGGGAAAGTCTCACCTCAGCCTTCAGAAAGGCAGGAGGCAGCAGGGTCACCTTAGGTAGATCTGGAGGTCAAGGCAGCCTGCTGGGAGCAGCAGAGGACATGCATGAGCTCATCCACTGCCTAGGCTGCAGCCAGGAAGCCGGAGTTGGACAGGAAGTACCTTTGGTGAAGTTGTCCTGGGGAGACCGTTGGACTCCCATACTAAGGAGATGCCAGAACTGGAAAGGTGTCAGAAGTCATCCAAACCAAATGAGGAGTAGATGAGGTAACCAAGACCCAAGGAGCAAATGATTTGTTTAAGATTACAGAGGCATCTGGTGGCGCAGCTGTAACACCTGCCCAAGGGCCCACACTAAGCACCCCCAGAGCTCTTGGGGCCCTTGCAGCTCTGGCCCCTGGAGGCCACTGGGTTGGGTAGGAGGAAAGCCTCTTGGATAGAATTCCTATTCTGTCTTGCTATTGGAATTAAAATTTTGAAAATGCAGTAGTCCTAAATAGGGAGATTACAAATCCCACAATGAAAATACAGCTTTATTGCTAATTACCACCTAAGACACTACAGGTTGAAAACCATAAATTAAAATCTAAACTGAGGGGGAAGCTGCACCACTCCCTCGCCTCCCATGCACTGTCACCCAGACATCATCCGCGTCCCTGCCCTCCCCCCTCCCCCCAGCCCCGCCACTCCACACACACACAGGCCTGAGCATGTGGATTTGGGCAGAAGGTAGAGGATTTCTGTGCATGGCCTGCTTGAGGGGAAGGGAACCCTCTCCCAGAAAATGACCATCATCTAACCTCGGAGCATGCCTTGAGGGTCCAAGAAGTTTGGGTATATTTCTGTGGTCATACAAAGGAGTGTCTGGCACCAGAAGGAGCTCAATAACCACTTAGTGAATGGGACAGCTGCCTCCTGGATGGTGACCCCCACCCCAACCTATTCCACCATTCCGCGGCCCCAAGTGGCTCAGAGAAAGAAGTGGGAGTGGTCCCCGGACCCGGGGCCGCTGGAGGACAGCCGGTCACAACGAGCCTTGTAGAGGTCGCGCTCCCTGGCCAGGCGGGCCACCTCGGCCCGCAGCGCGTCCAGCTGGGCGGCCAGGCGAGCTCGCTCCGCTTCCAGCCCGCGCCGCTGCTGCAGCCGCTTGGAGCGACAGGCCTGCGCGTACCCGCGGTTCTTCAGCGTGCGGCGTCTCTGCTTCAGCCGCAGCGCCTCGTCGCGCCCGCAGCCCCGCAGCTGTCGGTTTAACTCCCGCACAGACATCGACACCAGAGCCGCGTCGGAAAAGCGCTCGGCCAGCTGCAGAGGGAGCGGGTGGAGACCAAGTCAGGACAGAGTCCCGCCCTGCTCCTCACTCGGGTCGCCACGCCAGGCTGGCCCCGCCCCCTGGGAAGGCCCCGCCTCCGCTCGCGACTTGACCTGGCTGCTTGCTCTTCCACTGATTCTATCTCCCATCCCAGACCCCAGCCCAGGTCTCAACACTTTCGGGTTCCCAAGGGTGCTAGCTGAGGGTCTCGAGCCCCTTTACACCCGTCTGGTCCTGCAGGCCCCGCCCGCCTCCCACTGTCCAGCGAGCCCATCCCACACTTGAACCCCGCGCGCGCGATCCCTGTGCGGTCCTTAGCATCATGCTCCAGGCGCATGTCTCCAGGGGACCCGCGCTCAGATAGATCCCGCCTTTCCAACACACCTGGCTGTCCTCCCCTGAAGGCTGCAACCCTGTGACCCTCAAAGGATTTGGATTACATCCTAATGCCCTCAACACCCCCATCTGTGTCTATAATTAATAGGATGAGTCCCAATCCTTTCTGAGAAGGTTGGGGACTGGGGAAGCACAAAATCTTGAAAAAGCCAACTTCATTCGCGTTCCCACAGTCAACTCCATGCCATTCCCTGTTTTCCACGAATGGTGTATCTTTTTACCTCCCATAATCGCCTGCTCCCCGATGCCCTTTAACTCTCAACTCTCCCCTTTCTGTCCTCTTCTAACAACTTGATCTTCTCCCTCTTCCTCTGGGGTCAGCCTATTCATTTCTCTCCCTTTGGAATAAAAGGAAGGGGTAGAAGATTCTCCTGCCCTTTGTCTCTTTCCCAGTCCAGGAACTCCTTCTCTCACCCTGCCTCCCCTCAGAACAGCTCACTGATCACTCACCTGGGCATGCTGCGCTCCTGTCTGCTCTGGGCTCCCTGCGTAGTAGCCGTGGGGCCCCTCAACAGGGACTGGGCTCTGACCCTGCAGCAGCTCCACCGCCTCCTCAGGACTCAGCCCCAGGGTCTCCCCAGCCCCCAGCTGCTGCTGTAGGGTGGCCAGCCAGTACAGCTCCTCCAGGCCTGGCCGAGGGCCCTCGGTGGCCCCCGCCATGCCTGGCTCACTGAAGGTGGGTGAAGGAGGCACTGAGCTGTAAGGTGTGGAGCCCAATGAGGCTGCGAGGGTGCCAGATCGCCCCTCAGAAGGTTCTCGTTTTACCTCAAACTTCATCAAGTCGAAATCATTGACATACTCCATGGCCAGGGGGCTCGGAGGCAGAGCCATTCTCAGGCTGGATTGGGAGGGGTACACCTGCAAAGAAGAAGAGACATTTGGAACACTTGCAGACTGCCTGCCCGCATCCTTCACCAAAACCTGCAGCCCCCTCCACCCGCACCCCACCCGAAGCCTAAGTACCCTGGAGCCCAAATTCTGGAAAGCTGGGGTGATAGTACAGCCCTGTTCCCTGCATAGTCTTCTCTGGGCTGGGAGCCACCTTTTTAGGTGGCAGGGGCTCCTGACTGGGGGCAAGCAGCTTAAAGGCCTGAATGAGCCCTGACCTGTATGGCTCAGTGATTAGTGCATTGGCCTGAGCACCGAAGGGTCTCAGGTTCGATTCTCAGTCAAGGGCATGTACATGACTTGCAGGTTCGATCCCTGGCCCCAGTCGGGGTGTGTGCAGGAAGCAACCAATTGATGTGTTTCTCTCACATCGTTGTTTCTCTCTCTCTCTCTCTCTCTCTCCCTCCCTCCCTCCCTTCCACTCTCTCTAAAAATCAAAGGAAAAAATATCCTCAGGTGAGGATTAACAACAACAACGAAGTATTTTAAATAAGGATAGCACAGCCTCTGACCCCCACTGGTGCTTCTGAGATCTATGAAAAACAAGAGGAATATGGCAGTGCTCCAACTCTGCTGCTGGAACACGCTGAGATGCTCTGTCATCTCAAGTGGCATCATTTCATTTCTAAGCAATTAAAAATTTTTGCTTAATTAACCGTGAGAGTCTGTGTATTATTTTAGGACAATGGGAAGCATGTATGCTGTGAATTTTAATGTACATGCTCTATCTCTCAGAGCACTCAACCTGATGCCTTGCATATAGAAGACCCTGACTGCACATCTGTTCTTTGGATTAATCAATGAATCCCTTTTACAGGAGTGACAGACTTTCCAAAGAAAAAAAGAAAGATTCTAGAATCAGTTTTAGAAAAATCAGGACTGAGGGGTGACCATCTTTCCCCAAGGCCAATCTCGCCAAGGGGAACCAACCAAGACTGGTTTTCCTTCTTCTATTCAGAACTCCCTATATTGTGTGAACTTGAACAGATCACCTTCCTCTTTCTGACTCCAGTTTCCCCTTCTGTTCAATGAAGGAAATTAGACGTTAACATTTCCCAAAGAATGATCTGTGAAACACTAAGTCTGAGAAATACCCAAGAAAAGGCCTGTGCTCAGATAACTTTGGGAAAGGCTGCCTCCCATCCCCACCTCTTGCACAGTCACAAAGCACAGCAGCATATGAATCTAAGTCCTTCAATAAATCGTCTGTTCAACTTCAACACAGAGTGTACCAAACTTAATGTCGCCAAGGAACTCTCCTCCCTATTATCAACCAGGGAGCATGTGCTCACCTCTGACTTGATGACCTCAAAGAGTCTTCCCAGCCTGGAAATCTCAAGCCCTAGCGTGGGTCCCAGTTCCAGCAGCAGAACCCAGAAAGGGCAAAGCAGGGCGTGCTTATCCCCAAGGCTTAGAGTTTGGCTCCATCTTGATGCCTCACACCCAGGTATCCCTCTTTCCAACCAGACCCCCAGGCTCTGCCCGAAGAGGCGGGAGGAAGGACAAGTCCTTTCTTTCTTCCTGTCCCGGAGAAGGGTTGTTGCCCTATCTATTGTGCTCCTCGCCCTTGAGAGGACAGAGAAGATAGGAACAAAGACACAGATTGAAGGAACTGGTCCTTGGCAGGGAGAAGGCAGTAAGACACTGAAAGAAGTGTCCAGAGAGAATTAGATGAAGAAATCATCTAATCTCTTAGGAAGGAGGCTTGTTTATGTTTCTGATATGATAACCGTGAGGGACATAAAGCCAGTCAGGGTGGGAGTGGGGCAGGAGACAGAAGTGTGAGGATTCCTGAAAATAGATGACAGAGAGCAGACAGCAGGTATCAGAGGAGGTATCTCTAGGTTAGAGACCCAGCACCCAGGAAGGCCCAGGGCATACTCACTTAAGGGATGGCAGAGGTGATGTGGTCAGTGTCAGAGCCAGACAAGCACAGCTTACCCAGAGACTGGAGGCCCCATTGAGCAAGGCCTAGTGCCTCTGTGCTCAGAACAAGGGGCTATGGGCACAGAGCCCACAGGGCACTCTTAAAGGGATAACTCTCTGAGGTCATCTGTGGTCTTTAGGCCTTCCGCCAATGAGGTAAGGGGATCATCTGCCTATCTCATTGGCCTGGAAGGTTGGGGGGAACAAGAGGAGAGAACAAGGAAGGAAAGGGGGCATCTTCCTCAGCAAAGCTCCTCACTGGTGGTATGACTCACATGTGCTCAGCTCCCTGGTACAGACCACCACCCTCAGGTGAACACAATCCTCAGGCCTCAGAGACTGAAAGTATGGGATTGGAAAGGAGAACGAGACAAGCGCCCAGTGTCCTCACCCTCCAAGTAGCTCCTTGTCATTGTTTCTGGGGAGTCCAAGCTCTCCTGAGCCCACTCTCACCTGGACTGGTGGGTGTCTCCTTTTTTCAGGAATCCTCACATTTCTGCCCCCTGCCTCATGCCACTGTGTCTAGCCTTGTGACCCTCTTAGCTATCACGTCAGCAGAGAAGCCCTCTTCTCCACGCTGAATCTCCAGCACTCGGTCTCTCCCACTCTTGTTGGCCCAGCCAGTCCCAGGAGCCCAGCTTAGGAGAAGGAGCAGGAAAAGGGAGAGTGGGAAATTCTGCTCTTTCCTTCTGGGCCACTGTGGGACACTGAAATCTAATCACCCCAATCCACCTGAGACTTCTGTAACCGCCCTCAAAAGCCCTCTGCTTCCTCCTGTCTTTTCCCTGTGTGCGTCTCTGTCCTTCTCTCTTCCTCTCTCATGTGTCCTGGTTCCCAGATGGCTGGTAGGTGACCTACATTGTCAGCCTAATCCCCTAACACCTCTTAGAGCTATCATCCCTGAGTAGAAGTTGGAACAGGGATACTAGGAATTAGGCAAGGAGATGTTTAAACCTGTCTGAAGCTGTTTAAATAGGGTCTGTACTGGAATAGAACTCCAAGAGCTAAGGCTATTCCCTACCTTCTGAGGACACCCAAACCCTCCCACGGGGTTAACAGATCCTGTTTCCCAACCCAATGAGCAGTGTGGGTGTCCATCAGCCCCAATGATGATCATTTATAAAAATTAACCTAGTTCCAGCCTTAGGTGTTGGGTGAAAAGGTGGGAGAGTCATGTGATTTAAGACAGTGGTTCTCACAACAAAGCTGGGGACAGGGCAGGGAGGGAAGGGGAGGGGGAATCAGTGGGAGGGGAGGAAAAACATCTGTAACAAAAATTAATTAATTAATAAAAAATAATAAATAAAAATAAAACTTAAAAAAAAAAGACAATGGTTCTCAAAGTATGGTCCCCAGATCAGCAGCATCACCTGGGAACATGTTAGAAATTCAGATTCTCTGGCCTCACCTCAAATCTACTGAATCAGAAACTCTGGGGATGTGGCCAAAATCTCTGTGTTTTAATAAGCCCTCTGGGCAATGTTGATGAAAACTGATGTTTGAGAACCACTGCTGTACAGAATGTCTACAGTGAACTCAGCTTCCCTTAATGCATGAGTGTTTGTGTGTGTTCTCTACACACATATAAGAAGACTTAGATCAGATGAAGGCTCGTACTTTCCACACCTGGCCTCTATTTTGTGGAACAGAGACCATTACCATTGTTTAAGGAGAAAGGTTTCTCGGTGTGATTGCCTGGGTCTAGTGCTGTTTTGTAGAAGAACCAAGAAGCCCAAGGCCTGGAAACAAATCCACAGAATTGGATGGGGATCATAGAGACAGGGAACCCTCACACATGCCCACGGCATGTGGCTCTAAGGCAGACAGCCAGGAAAGAGACCCCAGAATTTCCCTGGTTGAAGAAGGAATAGGAAGTGTTGAATGCCAGCCCCTTTTTTCATGCCTGGTCTGGCCTGGCCAGACACTTGCCTCCCTTCCCCCAGCAGCTGTCAGGTTTGCACTGATCCTCTTGTTTACTGGAGAGCTCAAAGGAGAGGTGGGAGGGCTAAGCTGCTAACGGGCTAAAGGAGTCAGACTAAACAAGCTCAGGCAGGTTGAGCTGCTAGGGGCTCAGACCGGGTGCCACTGACCAGGGAAAGGAGTCTGGAGACTGAGAGCTGGGCCAGGGGGAAAAGGACCAAGGACAGGGAAAGGAGGTTGTTAATGGGTTCTCTGTGGGGAGGTGGGGGACACATGCTTACACTGACTGGCTCAAGGACATCTGGGGACAAAAAATAGGGATGAAAAAGATGAAGCCAGGTGGACTCTAGGAATGGCAGAACAGAGGAAGGGAAGCAGGAAGATTTAGCTAAGGAGGCAGTGGGTGCAGATCTGAACAGAGGGCAGAACAAGTCAGGGGCTCCCCAGGGATCTGGACTGAAGGAGACAGAGGGACATAGGCACATGGAAAAGATGGGCAAAGGTCCATGGGGAACTAAAGGAGAGAGAGGAAAGCTTCTGGGAGGAGACCAAGAAAGGAATAAGAGTAATGAGAGGTGATGAGAGCAAAGGACTAGAAAAGCAAGAGCAGTAGAAGAAAGAAACAAAGGAAAGTAAGACTGAAGACCAAGAACTAAAACAAATACAGAGATGCCCTGGCCGGTTTGGCTCAGCGGTTAGAGCATCGGCCTGCAGTCTGGAGAGACCCGGGTTCGGTTCCCACTAAGGGCATGTACCTCAGTTGCAGTTTGTCCCCGGCCCTGGTTGGTTGTGCGGGTGGCGACCACTCGATGTGTCCCTTTCACATCGATGTTTCTCTCTCTCTCTGTTCCTCTCTCTCCCTCCCACTCTATCTGAACAAAGAATGGAAAAATGTCCATGGGTGAGGGTGATAAAAATAAATAAATAAATAAATAAATAAATAAATAAATAAATAAATAAATAAAACAAATATAGAGAAAGCTAGATGGTAAGGTCACAAAGAAAGACTAGTGGCCAAAGGACAAAAGGTAGAAAGATATGACTGAGGGATGCTGGACCATGGGGAAAGAGGGCCAAGCCGGCAAAGGGCCTGGGGAAGTGGAAAACAGAAAGGAAGGCCTGGCTGGTATGGCCCAGTGGTTGAGCATCAACCCATGCATCAAGAGGTTGCTGGTTCGATTCCTGGTCAGGGTATGTGTCCAGTTTGGGCCAAATCCCCAGTGGGGGGCAAGCAGGAGGCGGCCAATCAATGCTCTCTCTCATCAATGTTTCTATCTCTCTCTCTCTCTCAAATCAATAAAGAAAAAAAAATTTTTTTTAAAGAAAACAGAGAGGAAGGACAGAGAGGAGCCAGTCAGCAATCCAGGATGCTTCACTATCTCCTCTGTCCTGCACCCATTTTGGGAGCCCTGTAAGATTTGTTCTCATGTCTAATTCTGGCCTTTGGTATCTAAATTTTCAGTAATGGATCCAAATCCTTAAACCTCTTCTTGGTCTACCTCTTACATTCATTTAACAAGTATTTCTTAAACACCTACTCCACTCCAGACACTGTGCTAAGCATTAGGTAGACCTCAGTAAACCAGTCTGACACCAGCCCTGCCTTTGCGGGGCTTACAGATCGATGAAACAGAAACATCACTGTATTGGTGGCCCTTGCCCTGGGCCCTGTGCGTTGGAAGGCTCCACTCTGGTCCTCTCCAGCTATGTCCCATGGAGTGGAATTCAGGCCTCCTGTGCCCACACACCCAGTCCCCTTCTGGACCACACTCCAGATACCTAGAAATTCCCTGCCCAAAGCACCCCAAGCCTATTTTCTGGGCCCACATGGACCTCTTCCCTGGGTTTGCCTACCCAAGGGTAGACCATACTACCTGTACACACATCCTGAGACCCAATAATTGGCCAACGGGTAGCTGTTTTCAGGAGGCTGTGGACAGAACTGGGCTATGTAGACAGAGAGGTCCACATACATGCACATGATGCCCCTCGTAGTACAAGACGGTGTCAGGGTGGGAAGGAGGTGGGCCGGCTCTCCTCACACCACATTCTACTTTGGAATCCTGAGGATTCCAAATAAAACCCAAATTTTAGTCCAAATTCTAGACCATTGTGTATATATTTGTCAAGGAAGAAGTATAGAACATATTTAACAGTTTGTCAGCTTGAGTTATTCATTTTAATATTAAACACAAGGTTTGTGAGCTTCTATCTGTACTCTCACCCAAGGACATTTTTGCATTTATCTTCAGATAGAACGGGAGGAAGAGAGAGAAACATCAATGTGAGAGAGACACATTGAGTGGCTGCCACCCACATGACCCCAACTGGGGCGGGGGACAAACTGTAACCGAGGTACATACCCTTAGCGGGAACTAAACCCAGGACTCTCTGGTCCATGGGCCGATGCTCTAACAGCTGAGCCAAACCAGCCAGGGCTCTATATGTACTCTTGTTCCAGGCCCAACATGTTAGGAATGGGCCTACTTGAAAATAAACCATTGGCCCTGGCCGGTTTGGCTCACTGGCTAGAGCGTCAGCCCACAGACTGGAGAGTTTTTGGTTCGGTTCCTGCTAAGGGCATGTACCTCAGTTGCAGTTTGTCGCCAGTTGGGGTCATGTGAGTGGCAACCACTCAATGTGTCTCTCTCACATTATGTTTCTCTCTCTCTCTTCCTCCTTCTCTCCCTCCCACTCTGTCTGAAGATACATGCAAGAAAAGAAAAGAAAAGAAAAGAAAAGAAAAGGAAAGGAAAGGAAAGGAAAGGAAAGGAAAGGAAAGGAAAGGAAAGGAAAGGAAAGGAAAGGAAAGAAAAGAAAAGAAAAGAAAAGAAAAGAAAAGAAAAGAAAAGAAAAGAAAAGAAAAGAAAAGAAAAGTGACTTCCGGTCATGATGGCGGGTAGGTAAACGTGGCATCGCGTCCTCCCACAACCACATCAAAGTTTCAACTAAACTACAGAACAACCATCATTCAAAAACGCCTGAAATCAAGCTGAATAAAAGTTCTACAACTACGGAATTAAATCAGCAGCCACATCCAGACTGGTAGGAGGGTCAGAGGCTGCGGGCTGGTCCCACACCCACGTGTGGCGGATAAAAATCAGGAGGATACCTCGGCTGGGAAGGTCCTTCCTGAGGACTGAAGGGTCCCTGTCCCACACCAGATGCCCCGCTCAGGGTTCCAGTACCAGGAAGAGAAGTCCCCATAACTTCTGGCTGGAAAAACCAGCGGGAACTGAGGCTCAGGGAAGCTGAAGCGGCTGGAGCCCCAGGCAGCTCCCTAAAGGGCCCGCGCACGGACTTATCAGACTCTCTCCCTCTAAGCTCGGAGGGGAGGCAGCTCGAGGGGCACCAGAGTCATACAGGGAAGAACTGAGCTGTTTGGCACTGGAGCGAGGGCTGGAGAGGAGGTTTTCTTGGAGACAAACATGCTGTAAGAGGCCTTTGTTCTTTTGGCGAGCCCTTCCCGGGGGCGGCAGACAGAAGCCATATCTGGGACTCCAGCAACCTGGCTCACACTGGTAGCCCCGCCCTGCTGACTCCCTGAGGCCCCGCCCCGCCCCACCCAACTTTCAAGCCCACCCAAGCTGTTGGCACTTGCTTAACCATAGGATTGGCCTGTCTTGGATCCTGCTTCAGGTTTTTCCTAAATTCTTTCAAACGAGCAGCATCTGGTCTCAGCGAGCCCCATACCTCTCATTAAGTAATACACAGAAACAAACACAGGGAGGCAGCCAAAATGAGGAGACAAAGAAACAGGTCCCAAATGAAAGAACAGAACAAAACCCCAATAAAAGAACTAAGCGAAAGGGAGATAAGTAACCTAACAGATACTGAGTTCAAAATACTGCTTATAAGGATGCTCAATGAACTTAGTGAG